CCGAGTGAGAAGGTCTTTTGCGTCAGCCGAAAGATAGAAGGGAAGCATGAGCTTCTGCTTCAGGATCTTTTCCTGGATCTTGGCGTTATTATTGCCTATGAAAGGTGGGGAGCCCGTCATCAGATCGAAGCCCAGTGCACCGAGACTCCACCAGTCGACCGCCATGCCGTACTCGGCGCCCTGAACAACCTCCGGAGCCATGTATTCGATGGTGCCGAGGAAGGAACGGCATGGCGCACCTTCAACGGCAACTTTGCTGAGGCCGAAGTCGGTTAGCAGAAGATGGCCTTCAGCATCTAGAAGGCAGTTTTCGGGCTTCAGGTCGCGGTATACCACACCGACTGTGCGGTGAAGGTGGTCAAGCGCGAGGACCATCTCGGCCATGTAGAAGGCTGATGTGTCTTCGGAGAACATGCGCTCAGTTGCGAGGTGGTGGAAGAGTTCGCCGCCCTGCGCGTATTCGAGGATCAGATAGAGCTTCTCGTGGTCCTGGAAAGCGTAATACAGATTCACAACGAACGGATGGCGATTGACGCTTTCGAGGATCGCACGTTCCGTCTTGGTCTGCTCGACAAGCCGCTTGTGAACGGTAATGGAAGCTTTCTTGAACTGCTTCTGTGCGTATAGTCGACCAGTTGCTTGTTGTCTGACAAGTAGCACTGTCCCGAAACTCCCCTTTCCGAGACACATCAAGGGCTCGAAATCTTCTGCGGCCATCTTGCGCATGCTCGTACTCCTTAGCTCGGTCTGGCTGGTTGTTGGAGTCAACTTTGATCCTGCATCGGGACTAATGAATTCGTTTTCAAGGTTGACTTCGTAGCTGTCCATTTCCGTTCGATCGCTGTCGCTATCGAGACCCGATACGCTAGCATTGCTGGAGATTCCAGATCTCAGCATGCCGCTCAAAGGTCCCTTCATCGGAGTATCCACCCTCGAGCCGCCAATGTTCAAAGCCTCAAGGTGTTGCTTGAGATTGCTAATTCCTCCAGTTGCAGATGTCGGTCGCAAAGCCGGACTGCTGGTGACGCTTGGAAACCCAGAGAGCACAGGGCCGAGTCGCGGGGTATTGGCAAGAGAATAGTCCGATTCTTCGCCGCCAGAAGTGACAGGTGTTTGAAATCCTCGGATGGTGGTGGTGGCAGGGGCGCCAGGCTTCATAGCCTTGTTCTTCTTCTTCTTCTTTTTCTGTGCTTTCTTCATGACAAGGTCAAAGTCCAGCTTCTCGACCACTCCTTCTGGTTTGTCGGGCGCGTTAACCAGCGCTAGGCGCTTGGGCACGGGAGCTGTGATGCTAATGGGAGGACTACTATGTGGCACCTTAGATGTACCGCTCGCTGCGCCGGGGTTTTTCGGATCTACTCCGTCGACGAACACATCATCGCTCTCTGTTGTGGGTGCTAGGCCATGTTGTGGTTGGACGGGTGTAAACGCAGCATCATTCTGGTCGAAGTCGAAAAGCGTCATGGCCACGAACGACGGCTTGACGTGCTATACAACTTATTGCTTCGTATTTACAAGTGTCAATCTGATAATATGCTGCCATCATTAGTGATAACCCGCGAGAAAGAGGGGTTGGCGTTTGGCGCACTTGCAGCCTGGGTTCGCCCCTTAAGATATTACCGTCCGCCCAGTCAAGGCGGACCTCCCGCAGCTACACACCCAATCAATGCGCCAAAGCTTGCGTCGGTCGTAGAAAGGCCGAAAGCCAAAGTGATGTTAGGGATCGCGCTGACGGCCAGGGCGGAGGCGTAGCGGGTGAAGAAGGTGGTCGGTGAGCTAGAGGGGGAGCCCATAAGTGGAGGATGTTTGTAGAGAAGTGCTCAAACGTGAATAAAGCCAGAAGTATGTCCCGGCTGGCAAGTGACGGTGTTGGGTGGTGAAAGTCGCGTTGGTGAGAGTGAAGGAAGTTGGCGAAAGGACAGAAGGAGGCTCCCGAAAATCTGGGGTTCACAATTTTTAGTCAGCCTCTTGGCGGTTAATGCGAATCACAAGCTCCGAGTATCTGAACATTTCTTAGATTCGTAATTGAGATATTGGATCAAACTTTGAAAAACGAGTGCTTAGTGTAGAATTTATAAAGAATTTAAAATATTCGGGAAACGTAAGTCTTGCAGCAATTATTGAGTTAATTCTTATAGTTGGGGAGTTACCCAGTCAATGATTTCGGCTTCGAGGCATGGTTTCTAGACAAGGAATGATCAAATGAATAACGCATCAAGTCAACTGGTAGGTCGCAGTGTATGTAGCAAGAAAGCTGATAAGACCAGAAACACGGACAAGTGCACATTCCTAGTATTGTAGCTCCAATCGCATTGACAACAACGATATTCCCCAGTGGACAACCTGGCGATAAGTCGGGCTAATAAAATCGCACGTAGCTTCATTTCCATCTATCATCCCAAGATTCACCTTTTAAATCATCCCTTAATGCCGGGTTGTCCATCCATAATATCACACAAAGCCCACTACTCTCCCCAATCCAGCTTACTGCCCCATATCTACGCTGAAATTTAATCCGTCCAGTTATTCGCTCGCTTCCAATGCTTCCATTTCCATGCAAATATTGGGGGATAATTCATCGATGCTAATATACACGTCAACTATCATCGTACTTGACTCCCTTGGGATTGCGATGCAGACCTTGACGAAACCGATGTCGGCGCTCTTCTCGCGGAAGCATTGACGGCAAATGTTGAGGCCATACTTTCGGATGAGGCCGGCCTTATGGGTGCAGACACGGCTGTTCCTCTTTATCAGCAGTTATTCGCTAGCTCCAGAGGAACAATATGTACCAGGCACGGCTGCCCTTTCCGTAGGTTCGCGGGCGCGAATACCACACTGACTCGTGGGACATTATTTGGGTATCGGGAGTGAATTTGTGCCGGGTGGCGTTCGGTGGGCGAGAATTTGTCCGGAACGTTTAGTCGTTGTCGTGAGTTGATGTCTGCGAAGCCTACGAAGATTTTGGGGAGTTTCGTGCGGTGGCACTTTCCTAAGCGAATTCGGTCGGTCTTGGCGCAGGATCTACCATCCCTGCACAGTCGAACTCCTCATTATTCACTTCCTTTATATAATGTTCAAAATGTTTCCAAAGTATGCGCAGCGGTGATAATAGTCACGATTGGTGTTCACACAACATAAAAATTGCACTCGTCTTTCCTATACTTTTGTGCTTAAGCACGTTTCCAAAGTTTACTGCCTCAGATTACCTAGTTAGAAAGGAACTCTGCAAAGCTAAGATCGCTGAGGAGAAAGCAAGAGATGTTAAATAATTTCTTCTGCATTTCGATGCGGCCAATTTAGCAATTATTATATTGAATATACTGTACAAGTCGGCCCTTTGCCCCTACCAGCATGCACGCTATGCAAGATTAATACAATCGATGTCTTCAGCACTCAGGGCACGTGCGATGCCAGACGTTTTCAGTCCTCATGAGCGACTATATCGAGATCGGTCGTGGGAGATTAATTCTCCGGAGGAAAGAGAGTAACCGAAAAGCAAGAGTGTTAAGGGGCGGGATGATTCCCCCCTAAGCCTTAAGTCTCGTGCCTGCGAGATCTTCCTGGGCGTCTTTAATGAGAAAACTGTACTCCATTAGCAATAAATCGAATATCGAGACATCGTTAAATCCTGAGTGAAACATACTTGTACCACCAGATAGTCGGACCAACTGTTCCCAAATGCCACAGGCTATGTGCATCAATCATTCCCCGCCAAGGCGGGAAATCTAACAACTCTAGGCTCATTGCCATGATCAACCACGCCACGATCAGACCGGGCCACATGGCCCAAGTTCGTCCCACCCGTTTATACTGCATATAGCTGAACCCGCTCCATAAAATATTTTGTACCACCCCAACCGCAACATTCGCTGCCATGTTATAAGTATAGTCCCAAGACCAGAGCGTGAGATAAAGGACGTGTAGCGTGTAGAGGAGAAGGCAGAACGTTGTCCAGACCCGTAAAATCGACTGCTTCATGGGCACCTTCTTATCGAGCCTAAATATCCTGATCGGGGCGTAGTAGAGCCCATAGAGAACACTTGCTCCAGCAGCGAAGTAGTCCAGTTTCTCAGTCATATTAAAATCTCTGGTATGGAAGATCATGCTAAAGATCCAGCTTGCAAGACCAAAATATCCAAACAACAAATAGTATTTCCGAAGCGGGTAGGAGGCGGGTATACGTTCGCGGAGCTGGTCCATGCCCCAGTCGTGGGCGAGGTAGTTGAAGAGGGAGAAAATGACGGAGAAGGGCTCTTGCATGCCAATAAAGCGATAGAAGGGCCATTTGCCGTGGAATTGCTCGATCGGGTTCATGTAGGGCGGATCGCGGGCTAAGCGTTTATCCGTCACAACATGTTGGCATGTGTAGTCGCATTCAGAAGGGCAGTCCCAAAGGAGTAGCCGCCGGTGGAGAGCTTGAAAATTGTTAGCATTTGCCAATATCCGAAGCTAGATGGGATTGCATACGTATTGATGTAGCATCTTCGCCGCAGTTTGTGTCTATGCAGATCTAAGATTGATGTTAGCTTTGCTGCAACCCTCATCAGGAGTACGCCGAACCTGCACGCAGTCCTTAAAGTCGGGTAACCGGTCACCGATTGAAGCTTGAGCAGATCCAGTCAGTAAGAAAACCAAAACAGCAATTTGCCATGACGAAGACCTGCGCATCCTCATGGTCCCAGTCAAGTGGCTGGTGTGTTCTCCATATGCTTGCCGCGTGCGACGTTCGTCGATATGCATGTGCCACTTAACAGCCCCTGTGGATTAGTCATCCACACTGTCGGATTGGGATAATCGAGAATGCACCCATACTTTTATGCTGCTAGAGCAAACTGATTTGGGTAATGGGTAAGATGAGGCCAATGTCGAACTGACCCCGCGGTCGAGATTCGACAAGCGAGAGCGGTTGTGATCGCCAATGGGAATATTAATATCAATTTTGAGATTGTAGGTATTGGTACATGAAGTAAAAACTCTGAAAATTTTAGTAGATTGACGGGCATGTAGCTCAGTGGTAGAGCGTCCGCTTTGCATAGCTTGTTGAGTTTGGCCTGCGGAAGGTCTCCGGTTCGATCCCGGACTTGTCCATTGTTCCGTCAGAATTCTTTTTGCTCATGGAGCGCCCGGAAGCCTTACAACCACATATTTTCTAGTTCGCTGGGTAGATGGACAGGCTTTCACGTTCTCGACGAAATGGTCGTATAATATTTCGGCTCGTCGCTACTCAATAACCTTTCTCACAACCGCCCGCCCTAGAAGCTACGACACCTTGTATCCACTATTAAACACACCTCAATAACCTTCAAATCTCGCATAGTAATGATATCGACTCCAGTACTTATTTTAGAGTTGTTTCCAGGATTTGAAGCCCATAATGTTAATAATAACCGCGCAACGCATATGTGTAATGAAAGGAAGCTAGGTTTATTGCATTCATGAACTGTATGTAAGATAACGATCTCGACAAAGATTATTGACACGAGCCCTACTCTCCCTAGCCTTGCATTGAAATGACTTCATAATCTACCCCTCATCATATCACTACCTTCCTCTAAATCGTCCGAACACCCCAGTCAATGTACCCAACCTATTAACGTGCAAAAATGCACTAACCCCAATATTTCCCCACATCACCTCATTATACTGATTGAAGTTCCAGAACATCTCTGGGCCCATCGCCTTATAGCTTGAATAGATATGTCCGAGGTCGCCTAACGCGACGAAGAAGAGGTAAAACTTCGCGACGCGCTTTTCGCGCGTAATAGCTGTGCAGAGGATAGCCAGCGCAGCGAGCAGAACGAAGATATTGCCGAGTGTGTAGGAAAGGCAAATTGCGCCGGCGGAAGGGGCCACGAAGGCTGAAGAAGCCTTGGGTACTTGTTTGGTGATGAAGGTGCTTGGGTTAGAGAAGGCGGCGTTCCAGCCTAGGATTCTGCTCCGCGGTTAGTGTCCAAATCAAGTTATTTGGCAGAGGTGATATGGTCAGCAGACGACACTGTTACTGGAAAGAAAAGCAGGTAGCATACAAGGATATTGGTTCGAGGTATGTAAATAGTAGCGCCGGCCAAAACGGTAGCACGGTCCCGAGAGCCATAGCGGAAATCGGTTTCGAATCGACACTTACGTAAATGGTAGGAAATGACAAACTGTTTCGATGCGCAGTGTGGGGTTAATCGGCTTAAATATGGAACGCGTTGTGCATCGCCGCCTTTGTTGGACAATCCTTCATGCACTAAGAGCCCTCCTAATCCAATCATGCGAGTTACACGGAAGCCCCACTAGCGGTTACGCATAAACTACCACTTGACAAAAAGTCCCTTTGTAACGGCCTCTGATTGGCCGGGTGCAGGACAGGGTGATGACTAAGAGCGATCACGTGCTGCGAGGGGATTATTCTTGTGGGTTTATGATAGAAGTGCGCAAGTAGAGTGTGCAAAGATATTCAAGTTGACTACGAAGAGCTATGAAGGTTGGAGTCGTAAGGTCATTAAATACAATTTGGTTCCTCCCTGTTTTCTCTTGCTCAGTCGTTGTTCAGGGACTGAGCGGGCTCAGTGGCTCAGTCCCAGCTGAGCCGCTGAGTCGTTCACGTGATCGGTCCCGCTCGCTTAAAACACTAGTTATAAGACTAGCAAACACAACATGTATAAACTACAGCTAGGTAAACCTAACATAGAATGCCAGCCTACCACCGTGTTGTTCGTTGAGCTTTTACTACTAGTAAGTTAATCCATTCTCCTTTACTTGAAAATATTTAGAGCTAGTACGCTTAAATCATTCCAATTAGAGGCGTTAAAGGAGGAGTAAAGAAGAAGCTGTAACGGCGCAGGCAAGACAATGGGTCCGAATGCAGCACGAATCCACTCAGAGGCATATGGGAGTGCGTGGGGGTTTAGGGACCTAGGAATTCCATTGACACCTATAGGCCTTGTACGAAAGGATATAGAAGAACTACTAAGCTACTTATAAGGGAGTGTGCAACTATATACGGAAGGGAAAAGGGGCGGAGCCGGGGGTAGGATAAGATAAGCGAAAAGCTTTAGGATAAGGTTGCATGTGAAACTTTTCGTGGAACGATTTCTTCGCATTGTTACAGAAGCTATAATTACTACTACAGGCCCATGTAATAGGCTAGTATGATAGATTACAGCGTAGCAACAATAGATAGAGTAGGAGGGCTAAAACGTTCGTATATTCAGTTTTCTTAGAGAAGAGATGGCTGGTGATGAAAGAGAGACGAATCGCTACTATCCCTGTAGGGTGTGATTCGGCTATTTTAACCCTATGTCAGGTGACTCTATATTATTAACCCGTGACTTAAAGCTATAAGACACTACAGCCCACTTCCTTAACATTAGAAACGGTCTACGGGGAACATACTCCGCCGCTCTAGTTTTCTCTACCTATTATTGCATGCCTTTATGACAATTAAACTGCTAGATAGCTATATAGGTTTACTTCTTACGTTAATATAATCAGCAGAAGATCAGCAAAAAAAATTAGCAGGTACCCGCTCGGCTCATCTTAGCTGAGTAGCTCAGCCCCTATTCTTAGCGCTAAGATTAAGCCACTAAAGATGGGCTGAGAATTCACATGCAAATTTTCTATAAATAGTAGGCTGACCTTCGTCCGTTAATTTTCATTTCCATCCCAAGTCATAAGTACCGAAGGTAATATATTCCTAATGTATTATAAATGTATTATTATCTAATATAGTTTTAGAATCTGTTATTCGTTTAGTAGCTATCCTAGAACTCTAGAGTAACTCTACTTTCTAGAATAACCCTACCTATTATCGCGTTATAGATTATATTAATAGCCTTCCTAATAATAGTAGTATTATATAAAGCGAAGATAGTATAAATATTAACCTAACTATAGTACTAGTAAGTAATATAATAAGACATTTTAAATAGATTTAGAATAAATTACTAATATATTATATCTCTAGATTAAAATTACGTAACTAAATTATCTTACTATAATAATAGCTATAAATAACTAAAGGGCTGTAAAGGTTAGATAGATATATTTTATAGATCTTCTACTAGAGTTTCTAAATACCTCTAAAGATAGCTTTATATATATTATTAACATATTAATATAGTCTAATATAGAGAAAAGAGTAGTAGAATAAAGGGTAGAATAATATTATAATATATTCTAAATATAATATAAATATATTATTAATATATTCTAGGTAATATACAGCTTTACGTAAGTTAGTATAGTAGATAAAAAGAGTAGCTTATTATTCTTTAATAACTTCTAAATTAGTAGAATAAACTATACCTATACTAATATAGTTTACTATATATATCTTAATCCAGATATAAAGGGTATATATTATACTAAAGTAATACTTTTATTACTTAAAAGTATCTGCTAAATTTATATAAAAAATAGAAGAGACTTAAAGAAAGTTAATATAAATAGGTTTATAATATATTAAGAATATATTAGAAAAACTTTCTAATATTTTTCTTATAGCTTCTATCTTATAGAACAACAGAAATTTCTCGATAGAACAGCTTATATATATCCTAAGCCCTCTTATACTATATAGTTTATTTAGAAAGTTTAACTAATAAGTATAATTACTAATATATCTATATTTATAATATATTACTAATATATTTCTAATATATTAGATAATATTAGGTATTCCTCGATATCTTATCTAGTATTATAACTATACTTATTACTTATAACTATATTATTCTTAGCTACTCTCTTTTTAATATTAATATTAAATTAACTTTCTATAAGATCGATTTAATAGAATAGATATAGAAGATAGACTAAATACTTACTATATTACTAAGTATATAGGCGTAAGGTAGAAAAAATATAGTAAGATATTAATTATATATTTCTAATTCTTTATTAATATATTACTAATATATTAAAAATAATTTAGGTATTAACTATTATTAAGGTTAGAAAAATCTAATTAAGTAATATTATAGTATTAAGTTTATTTAAATTATACCTTCTAATCTTATTCTATACTTATATATAATTTAGGTATCTATTAGAATATATATATATCTACCTTTTATAGTTAATAAAACTTTAAAAGATATTTATTAAAGATTTTTAGATATTATCTAGAAAATTAATAACCTATATCTTACTTAGAATATATTATACTAATATATTTCTAATATATTAATAATATATTAATAATATATTTAGATACTCTTTTAAAGAATCTACTTATTTAGGACTTTTACTAATAATATAATAGTTTAAGTCTATAAAATATATATACTAGTCTTATAAATAAAGATAAGATTAATACTTTAATCTATAAGTAATAGGTTTTAAATTATCTCTATAATTAAGATATAGCTGCTATTAAGTATAAGTATAAAGTAAGATATTAGAATAGAGAGGATTAGGTAAATAGTAATACTTAAAACATTCTAAATATATTACTAATATATTACTAGTATATTTAAGAGGTTTTCTATAATAGAGAAAATATTATAGTTATCTACTTTTATAAGTAATAACTTAAAGTACTTATATAATAAGACTAGTTTTAGTATAATATTATAACAGTATAAGTAAGATAATAGGTCCGAATATAGTATGAATCTACTTAGAGGTATATAGAAGTACGTAGGGGATTAGGAACCTAGAAATTCTATTAACACCTATAGGCCTTATATAAAAGGATATAGAAGAACTACTAAGCTACTTATAAGGGAGTATATAACTATATATAGAAGGGAAAAGGGGTAGAACTGGGGGTAGGATAAGATAAGTAAAAAGCTTTAGGATAAGATTATATATAAAGCTTTTCGTAGAACGATTTCTTTGTATTATTATACTACCCCCTTCCTTATAAGCTGATAGTCTCTATCTACGCTGGTTTAGGAGGGAATTGGGGCTATTATAGATAGGTTCTAGTATAAAGAAATTTCTTTAAAAAGGTATTTACTAGTAAAAGCTAATACGTATAGTTACCTATAGAGATATATTTATTAATATAATATTAAGTAAGATTTTTACGGTAAGTATAATTAACCTATATATTAGCTAGTAACTACTATTATAATAGTTTATTAATATTGTAATTT